ACACAAAAATTATCCAGGTGTGGTGGCATGTACCAAGTAGTCCCTGCTGCTTGGGAGGCTGAGATGGGAAAATCACTTGAACCCTGGAGACAGAGGTTGTAGTGAGCTAAGATTGCACCACTGCACTCCAGCCTGAATGACAGAGGCTCCGTCTTAAAAAAAAAAAAGGAGAAAACAGATTTATGCACAAAGGCCATTGTAGTCTTACACAAAAAGTATTTCTGCAAAGACAACTGCTCAGCAACTGCCTGTCCAACCTAAGACTGGCATCACCCTTATTACTAATCTTTGTAGCCAAGGATAATTATCTCTAAACAATTATGCAATCCTCCTCATTTTCTCTTTAAAAACTATTGTCTTTCTTTACTTAGTTTACTATAGCACGCATATTTCCATCATAATGCCCTACTTCTGAATGTATATCTTTTTCCTTTAGAGAGCCTCTCTGTCTGTTACTTAGTTTGATATAAATAGTGTCAGAGGTGGGAGGTGAAGAAAAATCACTATCAGAAGAATCAGCCGTTCTTGGAACAAGTGTGCAGTGCTCACTTGAACCTTTTGGACTCTGCTCTCACAGCTCACCTTTTCTGCCCTGATGAGTCTTCTCTTAGGCCAAGCCTCCCTCTTTTCAGTGGAAATCTTTATTTATTTATTTATTTATTTTGAGACAGAGTTTCGCTCTTGTTACCCAGGCTGGAGTGCAATGGCGCGATCTCGGCTCACCGCAACCTCCGCCTCCTGGGTTCAGGCAATTCTCCTGCCTCAGCCTCCTGAGTAGCTGGGATTACAGGCACACGCCACCATGCCCAGCTAATTTTTTGTATTTTCAGTAGAGACAGGGTTTCACCATGTTGACCAGGATGGTCTCGATCTCTTGACCTCGTGATCCACCCGCCTCGGCCTCCCAAAGTGCTGGAATTACAGGCTTGAGCCACCGCGCCCGGCCAGTGGAAATCTTTAAAATACTATTCTGGGCCAGGGGCAGTGGCTCACACCTGTAATCCCAACACTTTGTGAGGCCAAGGTGGGCAGATCATTTGAGGTCAGGAGTTCAAGACCAGCTTGACCAACATGGTGAAACCCTATCTCTATTAAAAATACAAAAGAATTAGCCAGATGTGGTGGTGCATGGGACTACAGAGTCCCAGCTACTCAGGAGGCTGAGGCCAGAGAACTGCTTGAACCTGGGAGGCAGAGATTGCAGTGAGCCAAGATCACGCCACTACTCTAGCCTGGGTGCCAGAGTGAGACTTCATCTCAAAAAAAAAAAAAAAAAAAAAAAAAAAATCCGATAATTCTGGATCTGTTTGGTTATAAGGCTGTCTTTACATCTCTTCTGGAATGATAAAATACTTTTTGTCCTTTCTCTTATAAAGGTAAGTGTCTTTCTGAGGTGACTGCTCCAATTTCTACAGAACTTTCGTTCTATCTATGAGGCACATCTTTTCTGGTAAATTCACTTTGGGTCTGCATGTCTTATTTATTTAGGAGACAGGGTCTCACTCCATCATCCAGGCTGGAAGGCAGTGGTGCAGTCACGGCTCACCACAACCCCAATCTTCCTGGGCTCAGGTGATCCTTCCACCTCAGCCTCCAGAGTAGCTGGGACCACAGGTGCATGCTAACATGCCTAGCTAATTATTTTTGTATTTTTTGTGGAGACAGGATTTCACCACGTTTCCCAGGCTGGTCTCAAACTCCTGTGCTCAAGCAATCTGCCCACCTCAGCCTCCTAAATTGATAGGATTTCAGGCATGAGCCATCATACCCAGCCTGCATGTCTGATTTAATAATGTGTATGATCTGCATGTGTGGGTTAAAATTTGTATAAAAAGAGTCTCTTCTTGGTCTTATTTTGGTTATGTCTGTCTAATTTGGCTCTTTTGCTTATTTCTGAAAACCTTCTGAAAGTGAAAATAAACATTCCAAATGGTAGATACAGAGTGGCTAACTAAAACCACTATGGCAGTCACCATCATTTAAAGCATCAGTCCAAACATCTGACTGTTTCTCACAGAATTTATAGGATTTTCTTTGCTCTTGAGGGATTAATAAGAAATGGAATTGGATTCTCAAACATTAGGGTACACTAAGTTTTCTGGGATCCTAGCCAGATACTTTTTACAGCCTGTTCTCTGCACATCTTTAAACTGAAGGGCAAAATAATTATATTAGGGAAGATTCACAGTCCAAATGGTCGTTATTCAAACTCTCCAAAAAAAAAAAAAAAAAAAAAACCCTACAACATGTAGAGCCTTCTAAGTTTTCTATTATCTCCATTTTTTTCTCCAATTACTTTAAATCTGCTGACTTTTTACAGGTGATGAGATAAAACTCACTACTTACGGCATTTCAGCCAAGATTTTTTTTTAATGTTTTAAAACCTTTCAAATTAATGGTTTTACAACTTACAACAACAAAAAATTAAATTAAATTAAATTAAAAAACAAGTTACAACAAATCCACTGATACTAACAACTTAGAAATTTTTTGAAAGTATAAATTTAGGTTTGCCTGACCAACAATTCTTTAAAAGGAAAGAATAGATAAAAGCTTATAAAAGGCTATTAGATCAAACAAGTCAAAATACTGAGTACAGGTTAAGAATATAGGATATATCTGTCTAGCATAAAAATTTTGCCATAGGCCAGGCACTGTGGCTCACGCCTGTAATCCCAGCACTGTGGGAGGCCAAGGTGGGCAGATGACCTGAGGTCAGGAGTTGAGACCAGCCTGGCCAACATGGCGAAACCCCATCTCTACTAAAAATACAAAAATTAGCTGGGTGTGGTGGTGCATGCCTGTAATCCCAGCTACTCAGGAGGCTGAGGCAGGAGAATCACTGGAACCCGGGAGACAGAGGCTACAGTGAGCCAAGATTATGCCACTACACTCCAGCCCGGGCAACAGAGGAAGACTCCGTCTCAAAAAAAAATAATAATAATTTACTTTGTCTGCCACATAGAGGCCAAGATGAAAAAGAAAAAAACCTGCTTGGCAGATTAGTGCCCTCAAGGTAAAAAAGATAAAAATAAGCCTGCTAAAATACTTCCCTGTCTGCATTAACTAGTCGAGCAAACCAGACCAGCAAGCAAAAGATGGATTCGAGGCTACTTGGAGATATTCTTTTGCTTATACAATACAGCTAATCCTAGTTAAAATGTAAACATTAAACTTTTAACCCTAAACTCCTTTGAAACTGAAAAAAGGAAGAAAGGGATGAAAGGGTTTTATTATTCTTGTTACTATTATTATTAAGTGCCATGAATACTGCTTTACCCAGAGTTTTGGGTAAAACAGTTTTCAATAAAGTTTAGTGATGTGAACAGATCCCAATTTTGTCAGAAATAGAATTTGGATTAAACTGTCCATGAGAAACCAGTGAGTTTGAATTACCGTCTCATGACTAAAATTCTAAAATGAAAGCTATAAGATCTTTGTGTGTGTGTGTGTGTGTGTGTGTGTGTGTGTGTATGTATGTTTAGATGTGCTTATGCATATGCATGTCTATTACTTTGTGTGTTGTATCTAGGTGGTGAAATCTGGCGTAGTTAGCCAGAAATCCGTTTAGAAATTCTATTCACTGGTCAGGTGTGGTGGCTTACACCTGTAATCCCAGTACTTTGGGAGACCGAGGCAGGTGGATCACCTGAGGTCAGGAGTTCAAGACCAGCCCGGCCAACATTGTGAAACCCCGTCTCTACTAAAAATACAAAAATTAACCAGAAGTGGTGGTGGGTGCCTGTAATCCCAGCTGCTCAGGAGGCTGAAGCAGGAGAATTGCAGTGAGCCAAGATTGTGCCACTGCACTCCAGCCTGGGCAACAAGAGCAAAATACCATCTAAAAAAAAAAGAAAAAAGAAATTGGCTTAGGTAAATGAGTGCTCATATAAAATATATGTATATGTATATATATATACGTGTGTGTGTGTGTGTGTGTGTGTGTAAGCAAAAAGGTATTTGGGTTAATTACTATATATTTTATATGAGCACTCATTTATCTTAACCAGTCTGGCCAATATGGCGAAACCCTGCCTAAAATACAAAAATTAGGACAGGTTCAGTGGCTTACTCCTGTAACCCAGCATTTTGGGAGGCTGAGGCAGGTGGATCACCAGGTCAAGAGTTCAAGACCAGCCTGACCAACATGGTGAAACCCCGCCTCTACTAAAAATACAAAAATAGCCGGGCGTGGTGGCGCGTGCCTGTAATCCCAGCTACCTACTTGGGAGGCTGAGGCAGGAGAATTGCTTGAACCCAGGATGCGGAGGTTGCAGTGAGCCGAGATCTTGCCACTGTACTCCAGTCTGGGTGACAGAGAGAGACTCTATCTCAAAAAAAAAAAAAAAAAAAAAAAAAGATATGTGTGGTGGCGCACACGTGTAGTCCCAGCTGCTTGTAAGGCTGAGGCTAGAGAGTCGCTTGAACCTGGGAGGTGGAGGTTGCAGTGAGCTGAGATCACACCACTGCACTCCAGCCTGAGCAACAGAGTGGACTCCATCTCAAAACAGAAAAGCATGATGAGCTGTCACTATACACCTGTTAGAATAGCTAAAAATTCTAACACGGACAAAACAAAATGCTGAGCATGCAGAGAAACTGTATGTCTTGTACATTGATGGTGGGACAGTTAAAAAAAAATTTCCAAAAGGTTATATACGGTATGATTTTGTTTATAGCAGATCAGTATACCCATCCTTGCAGCTGCTGTGAGTGTTGACAGCTGAAGGCTCACACAGCTTCCACCTGGTCTGGAAGGATTGCCCTGGGCAGAAAGGAGGCTGCCTCTTGTTCCAGAGCTTCATGTTCCAGCCCTCCCCACGGAGCCTCCACTGGCGCCCCGGCCCTAGTTCTGTTCTTTTAGAGGCAAATAGTCTGTTGAGTAAATGCATGCCATTACTTAGGACTTCCCGGCTGAAGATGTAGTTAATCTTAAGAAAACCTGACTCCCACTATAACAGGATGTTCTGCAATGACCTTCGAGGAGGAAGTGATTTCTTTCCTACTTTGGTGTCTTCCCTCACACCCTCCCCACCCCGCCAATATTATCCAGCACGGAGAAGCAAAACCAGAAGCTCCTCTCCAACTTGCGGTTCTTCTCTCCACTTGCAGTCCTTCCCACGCTGTGTCCTGATTCTAACAGTTCCCTGGACTCTATTCTGAATCCCCAGAGAGAAGGCCTGGCACTGGGTACGCCGCGGTAGGTAAGAGTGACTTTGGGGAAGGTAGGGAGAGTGTGGAAAGGACAGGGGGAGCAGAGCAGGAGGAAGGGAGGGGCCGCGGCTCCCAGCTGCCTAGAAAGCGGCTGGGGTTTCCCTCAGGGAGGGCTGGGGCTCCTCGTGGCGCCAGCCGAGCGCAGGGCGCGGACACCAGGGAAGGGGGCGCAGGGGAACTCCCGTGGGCCTTGCTTTCGCGAACTTCTCCCCTGGGCAGCAGGCGGTCGTGGGAGAGAAGGCAGAAGAGCCAGCTTTTTGGAACTGTGCACGGGGCAGATTGTGCACGAGAAAGAGCGTTTTGGAACTGTGCCTCCGGAGGGGTGAAGGTGAGCAGGGGTCTCTCCGGGAGGCGGGGTGGTCGGGGGGAGCGCGAGGGGCTGCCGCCAGATTCCTGAGCGGCTTTGGGAAGAACCGTGGATGAGGGTGGCCCCGTCTGAGTTCCTGGAACTCAGGACCGAGTTGGTTTCATTTCCTGGACTCGGATGGTGGAGCCGCTTGCTGGGATCTCGCACTACGCCCCGCAGCGGTGGGGGTCGTGGAGGGCAGGGGCACGGGAGCACGTAACCTCATGTCTTCTTAGAAAAAGGAAGCCTTCAGATTCGCAGAGAGAGAGAGAGAGAGAGAGAGAGAGAGAGAGAGAGAGAGAGAGAGAGA